GGGGGGGGGGTATTTAGGAGTCTGTGCAGTTCTTTGCCACACCCTGTGGGTTTGCTTTGAGGCCTTAGAGTTCCTTCTCCTCCCCCTGCTGCATTGCACCATGGGTATCGAAGAGGGGTTTGAGTTTGGGGGACCTGGGTTGAGCTGCTGCCTCCTATAGACCCAGACACTGACTGGCAGCCGAGTCCAGGGCCTGAGTTCAGTCCTGGGAAAGACTAGGCCGCCTTTGGGTTTCGGGCCCTGCAGGACCATCCAGACTTAGTGAGCCTAGGCCTTGGGGAGGGGTAGATCTTGATGCCAGGATTAAGCTCTGGGCAGTGAGGTGCAGAGGAGGTGGCAGTCTTCACAGGTGCCTTGGACTCACACCAGCACCCCCCACCCCCGTGTGTGCAGCCGTGTTGCCGCCCGCTGTGCTATGAGCAGTCAGAGCGCCGTCTCCACAAGAGTTTACAAATGAAAATGGAGGAAATGTCTTTGTCTGGCCTGGATAACAGCAAACTAGAGGTGAGGGCTCCCCCACGTGTGCCTCTAGTTCTTTCTCTTGATGTCTCTACGTCGCTATATCTGGCATTCACACCAAAGAGGAATTTGGGTAGTCAGCCTGGTTCCTTAAAGGGAATAGCCAGCTGAAAAGGTCCAAGGCTCCGGAAGAAGAAAGGACGCGAAGTCAAGATGGGGAAAATGGCAAAGAAAGCATTATTTTTGGCCAGGGCGAGTTGGCAGACTTGGTTGGTGAGAGAGAGTTGCTCTCAGTCCAGGGGGCTGTGACTCTCCTGACCGCGGATGTTCTCCCCTGGGCCCAGGCCATCGCTCAGGAGATATACGCGGACCTGGTCGAGGATTCTTGTTTGGGATTCTGCTTTGAGGTACACCGGGCTGTCAAGTGTGGCTACTTCTTCCTGGACGACACGGACCCTGATAGCATGAAGGATTTTGGTGAGCTTCAGGGTTGAAGGAGAGCAGTCCAGCCCAGCCCCGGGGGCGCTCGGAGGTCCCTTCTCTGGAAACTGCGCCAGAAGTAGTGCCTGGAGCTCCTGTGAGCTTAGGCAGGGGGGTTTCACGAGGCCACAGGGCCATGGGCGGGAACACGAGGTGAGGGTCCCCTGCCCACCCTGATCGCCACGCCTCTCCTGTCCCCAGAGATCGTGGACCAGCCGGGGTTGGACATCTTTGGACAGGTTTTCAACCAGTGGAAGAGCAAGGAGTGTGTTTGCCCCAATTGCAGCCGCAGCATTGCCGCCTCCCGCTTTGCTCCACATCTGGAGAAGTGCCTGGGAATGGGCCGGAACAGCAGCCGGATCGCCAACCGCCGGTGAGGGCTTCTCCCGCTGCCGGAACCAGAGCTGCGCGTCTTCCGTACCCTGTGCCGTGGTGTAGTCCCTCGGGGGCGTTGGTAGGGCACAGAGGGTGGCTCGTGCTTGGCCTCCGACGCTGCACTGTACCCGTGAAGTTGGGGGCAGAGAGGTGGCCGCCTTGACCCGTTCTCCCCCCTCCCGTCGGCAGGATTGCCAACAGCAACAATATGAACAAGTCGGAGAGTGACCAAGAGGATAATGACGACATCAATGACAATGACTGGTCGTACGGCTCAGAGAAGAAAGGTGTTTGGGGATCTGGGGGAACTGGGGGGCATTGGGGTGAGGTGGCAAGTGGGAGTTGGGTCACAAGTTATCTTGAATGAGGAGGAGAGAATGCAGCTTTGTCCTTTTCCGTAGAGGTCCTTAAATTGAGAACTTAAAGTGACCCTGTCCTTTGTCCTTTTGTCCTACACAGCCAAGAAGAGGAAATCAGACAAGGTGAGAGCGGGGGCAAGCATGAGGGAAATTTGGGCGAAGGACAGACACCCTCCCATTTGGGCAGGGAGTCCTCGGGTATTTTGACTCAAGTCTGAGGTCATCGGGTGCCTCTCTGGGTTTCGGGATGAGGGTGTCTGTGGTGGGCAGGAGGGCAGCGGAGGCCCTGGGGGAATGGGGGAGGAGGGAATATGGGTAGATGGGCCTCTTACTGGGGAGGAAGAGTAGGAATTTGAGGATGTTTCTTTGTCAAATCTTTTTTCCTTCCCTGGGTTCTCGGCTCCCCCTTATCGTTACCCTTTCCCCAAAGCTATGGTATCTCCCATTCCAGAACCCCAATTCCCCTCGAAGATCCAAGTCTTTAAAACACAAAAATGGTAAGTGGGTCTTGAACAACGGGAGCGATTCTAGCTGTGTCTTCTGGGACTCATTGCCGGAGGGTGGAGGTGGGGAGCTTAGGGGACAGGGGTATCGAGGGAGGGCCTGTGATCCTTCTGTCACCCCCACTTCCTCTCTGGTTATTTTCAGGGTTCTCTGTCTGTACCTCTGCATCAAACACCCTTCCCCTTCTTTTTTCTTCTTCAGGGGAACTTAGCAATTCGGATCCTTTTAAGGTGAGTAGGTGCTGCCCCTCTTAGGTTCTCTCCCGTTTTTCTTGTCGGGAGTTGGGTGGGATTTGGGCAGATGGGGTCAGGATGCTGATGGCCCCAAGCACTAGATGGGGTATTTAGGTCTTGGCATGTTTACGTTCTCGCTGGGTCCCAGCCCCTCCCCGATGAGCAGGTGGGGTGGACAGAATCACTGGAGAACTGCTGGGCAGTCCCATGTAGAAAAGGATGAGAGGGATGGGTTCCCTGTCCTCCCCTCCCCCCTCCCTCTTGGGCTGCCCCTTCTCTGACCTGTACCTTTGGTTCTTGCCCAGTATAACAACTCAACTGGGATCAGCTACGAGACCCTGGGGCCGGAGGAGCTGCGTAGCCTGCTCACCACGGTGAGAGACCAGGGGAGGGAAGGCCCTTGGGAGTGGGCTGGAGCCACAGGCGGTGGTCACGTCCCTGGAGGAGGCTGGTGACAGCAGGCAGGGCCATATAGCTCACTCTCTCTGGAATTAGGTTTCCTGGCCAGTGGTGGTCTGGGACTGTCTGTTCTGGACACCCCGGGGCCGTTTCTGCTCGTGCAATCTAGAGTTTGTACAGAAGAGAATATCTAGTGTCTGGAGTGGGCTCCCCTCCGCCCTTCCTTTCAGCTTCTGTTCCTCTTCCAGCAATGTGGGGTGATTTCTGAACACACCAAGAAGATGTGCACAAGGTGAGCTCAGAACCTAGCAAAGGCGCCCAGGGGCCTCCTGCACACGCATCCTGGGCATGGGGTGGGAGTACCCTTGGACTTCAGCAATGGGGCCCCCACTCCTCCCCTCCCTCCTCTAATGGTCAGGCCTTAGGCCACAATCTGGGGGCACTCTGTGTATCCCTCGCCTGTCTGTCTGTTTGTCCCTCCTCTGTTGAGGGAAGGGGCTTCACCTGAGTTCCTCCTACCCTTCTTCCTGCCTTGTCAGGAGGGTCTGATTAATTCTGTCCTTGCCAGGTCCCTGCGCTGCCCCCAGCACACAGATGAGCAGCGGCGAGCCGTGCGGATTTACTTCCTCGGACCCTCAGCGTAAGTGACCCTCCGAGAAGGGTGGTGGGTTGTGAAAGATGAAGATCGTGATTGGTATCCCTCAAGCCCTTCTCTGGCCCCTTCTCTTTCCAGCGTCCTTCCAGAGGTCGAGAGTTCCCTGGATAACGACAGCTTTGACATGACTGACAGCCAGGCCCTGATCAGCCGGCTTCAGTGGGACGGCTCCTCTGATCTCTCACCCTCTGATTCGGGCTCCTCCAAGACGAGTGAGAATCAGGGATGGGGTCTAGGTAGGTGATACATCTGGGCCCCCGGTCTCTCTGCCCGAAGCTGAGGACGTGGGGACACCTGCGTTCTCCTGACACAGCCCAGCCCTCATCCCGCGTGCCTCTTTCTTTTCAGGTACCAACAGCTCAGAGTCACGGAAAACCAAGAAAAAGAAATCCCATCTGAGCCTGGTAGGGACTGCCTCCAGCCTAGGCTCCAACAAGAAGAAGAAGCCAAAGCCACCGGCACCCCCAACGCCCAGCATCTACGATGACATCAACTGACTTGGGTGCAAGGGATAGCCTTTGGCTGAGCAGAGCCCTCTCTCCCAACCCCCACCCAGGTGGCGAAGCCTGGCAAATGGACGGCTGCTGGGGGTTTGGGCTTGGGAAGCTTGGTGGGCCAGGCAAGCAGAGGATCCAGTTATGCGCCCCTGGGGGGTGTCAGGGTCCTCTGCGATGGAGCACGACCCCTTGGCATGCAGGACTCAGACCTGGACATATTATGCCTTGGACATAAGTTTGGTGGGGAGGCGGTTTTCCTATTTATTCTGTGAGTTACTGGATGTCCAGCTAGGCCAGGGGCCTGACCTGGGCACTGTGCCAGGGCACTGCCTGCCCCCCACCCCAGGAACTGGACTCAGCCCTGCCGAGGAGCATCGCGGCTACCCGGGAGGCTGTGGGCTGGAAGCTGAGCCTGGAGGGGGCCTCCCCCAGCTGCCCTCAGCAATGTGAATGGGTCCGGTGCTTGGAGCTGAGGGGCAGGGCTGGGCGTGTCCTGTCTGTGTGCAGAATCCTATCAAATGCCCCCAATCCCAGGGGTAGGCAGGCACAGCAAGCTGTCTGCTGAGGTGGGTGTCCAGAACTGCCACCGCCTTCCCTGCCCCTCACAGGGGCAGCCCTTTCCCCTCAGTCCCCATGGGCCTCCTTGGCAGCAGGAGCTGTCCTTTTGTTGTTGGGTGCCAGGAAAGGGCCTCCAGCCTCTACAGCTTCACGGAACGGGCAAGGGGAGGGTAGGAAGAGGGAGCTGTGTATCAAAATGACTCCCCCCTACCTTTCCTCCCTGACCCAGGGCTGGTGAGGAGTGGGGCCCCAAGGTGAGAGGGAACGGTGCTGCTTTATTTGAAATGTTTTCTTACCTCATTCCCTGCCCCAGGAAGGGGCCCAGCCTCACCCTCCTGGGGTGGCCCCATGTTCCTCCTGCCTCCCCTGCCCCACTGCCCTAGCAGGGCAGCCCAAGTTCCCGACTGCTGCTTGCTACCCCCCTCTTTCACCTTGACCAGCTTCAGTTCCTCTCTCAATGCTCCTGCCTCCGAAGCCTGCCCTGTTTCCCCTTCCTTAGCCGCTTTTAAGTTATTTATTCTGTACTTGTGGTTTGGGGCTCTGAGGAAAATCCTGACCTTTTACCTCTCCCCCCTTGCTAGGAGTGGGGTGGGAAGAGGCTAGTCTCCGTGCTCTGGGTCGTCAGTGGAGGGGGAAGGGGTGTCATGCCCTCCGGTGGGACTACCCTGCCAGCGCGGCCACCTGCCTGGTCTACATCCTGAAGAGATACACCATCCCGCCTCCATGTGGGCGCCATCACTCCCAGGAGCCGAGCTGGAGGACTGCAGTCTGGGCTGGGAGCAGAGCTGACTGATGACACGGCACGGAGTTGACCCTGAGCTGTGTTCTCTGGCATTTGCTGGATGTGTCCCCTGCCCTCTTCCCAGGAGGAGCCATCCCACATTTGGGTAGCTAGTACCCAGGACTGGTTGGACTGATTTGGGTTAGGGACCCTAGAGGGTTAAGGGAACAACAAGAGCTAGGGCTGCAGTACCCTGTCTGGAACCCCAATCTCCCCTCTCCCCCCCCCCCCCCCCCCCCCCCCCCCCCCCCGGGGTGGTTCTGATTGTGGCTGACGCCTGGTTACAAATTGGTTTTTAACCCACGAATTGTGATTATTTTTTAAAAAGCCAAACAAATTTTGGCAGGAGTTAGAATAAATCCTAGGGCCTGGGCTCCTCTGTTCTTGACCCTCTGTAGCCTTCTCCCTCTAAGGGGAAGCCAGAGGGGAAGGAGGATTTCAGCCAGCCTCCAGCCTGCTTCCAAATGAAGTCTTGGGAGTGGGTTGAAGGTGAAGGGAGGAAGGCCACAGGCCACTCTCCCTTCTGAGAGGCAGCTGCAGCTCAGGCCCTACCATACCCTTTCCCCTCTGGCCTCTCCCTTTCCCCCTTCTGGTTGGAGGAGGGAGAAGTGGGAAGTAGTTTGGGAACTGGTTTGTCCACATCCACTTCCCCATTGTTCCTTGGCCCGCCCTCAGGGCAGAGCCCCCTGCCCAAGCTGGGTAAGAGATGGGCTTGGTCCAGCAGGGACCCTGAGGGAGCAAACCCTTTTCCTTCCGGGGAGAGAGTGCCCCCCCTACCATGTAGTTGAACAGGGGCTAGGAGCTCCCCACTCCCCTCCCTCTAACAGCAGGCTGTGTGGGTTTCAATTCCCATCCTTCCCACCCCGGCTAGGTGTCGTCCACCCTGTATCCTATCATGTGTCTGAGTGTGTGTGGGGGGGGTTCTGTACTAATTTCCATGGCCGGTGGCTTTTCCTTCCATGCATCACTCCCCCCCGCATGCCCAGGGGCCACCCGCCTGGCATTACCGCATGCTGGGGTCATTGGGGGAGGGGGGTGGGGCTCACGCTGTCCTGTGGTCTTGAGATTTTTATTTTTGCATATGTAATCCATCCTGTACAGGTAGCTAACTTTGTAAACGCTGTGTATTTCCCCCGCCCCCATGGCTGCTGGTGTAAATAAACTGCATTTCCCATTGGTAGCCCAGCCTATCCACCCTCATTACCATGTTGATGGGGACAGAGCAAAGCCTTTCTCTTAATGTCACAGAAGGAGGCTCCACAGCCACAAAACGGAACTTTATTTAGTCACAGACACTGACCCTCCATCCACGAGCCCCAGAGGCAAGGGCCTGGGGCCCAGGGCTCCATACCCAGAGCTCGTCCTTGGAGCTGGGCAGGGTAGGACACTGGCTGAGGGCCAGAGCTGTCTCTTGCTTACAGCCTTAGGCCTAGGGTAGCAGCAGCTGTGGCTTGGCCTCTCCCAATGCTGGGGGCTTGGCTTTGTGCCGCACTCCCCTTCCTGACTGAGCTCTATAAAGGACTATTAAAAAAAAAAAAAAAATACAAGCAAAGTGCTTTGAAAAAGGGGAGAACACTGGAAACTATCCAGAACACAGAGAACACCCTATTCCTGCTACAGGGGTGGAGGGAGAAGGTAGAGGCGGCTAGGTGCCTACAGGGGAAGCGGACACAACCTTCATTCCTGCTGTGTGACTTTAGTCTCAAAAGATGGATATTCCCTTAAGAAACAGAAAAATACTCCAGGCTCCCTACAGAAGTATGCTGGGGCCATGCTGAGCTGCCCTGGCAGGCAGCCCTGGGTACTGAGGAGCAGACATGCAAGACAATGGAAAGAGCTAGGGCCACAGCTGGGAGGGAATCCTCCGAGCCCCGGCTGCCCACTGAGCTAGACCGCCAGCTCAGCTCTGAATTTCTGGACCCTAAAAGTGAAAGAAGATGACGTCCTCGTTTTCTACCTGAGTTGTGCTTGCACAGAGGGGACGTCTGTACCCTCGTGGACGTGAAGGGGAGGCCCTATACCTGCCTCCTATGTCCTAAGGAGGAGGACCCACCGCATCCTTTCCACCCCTCCCTCCCAAGCCCTTGGGCCCAGCTCTGGCCAGGAAAGGGGGGAGGCCATAAAGAAGGAAGACCATGCCTTTCATTTTCTCCCTATATCCTTATCGTCCGTACATCCCAAATACTAGGAAGCTGAAAAAGACGGTGACCCCCACCAGGGAGACGGTGGCAGGTGCTGTGAAGAACTGGCGGTAATTGATACGGAAGTACCAGACCACACCCAACAGCACCACAAACACGGGCACCATGAGGCTGCCCACACTGACGCCAAGGCTGGGGGGTTCAGTGGCCGAAGAGGGGGCCAAGGATGCTGAGGGGCCTGGAACAGCTGACCCTGGGGGGGAGCGGTGGCAGTGAATCACACAGTTGTCGGTAATGTTCAGAGAACGCAGTGTGCGGGCTGGGTCCTGCAGCAGACGGCCCTGGTAGATCAGTTTCATCTGGCTCTCTTGTCCAGGGAAGTATTTACTGTAGGGATGAAAGAGGCAGAAGGAAACACAGAAGGCGAGGAATGAGAAGGCAAACAGGCCTGGACTGACAAAGCAGGGCAATGAGGGGAAAAACCAAAGGGTGAGTTTCTAAGAAGTATCCTACGCAATCCTAGTGGGGGCTGGATGGACCTGACCCATCCCTGCTGCTCCCATGTGGACACCAGCCTCCTCCCAGGTGACCAAGGGCTGAGGGCACGGGCTACGAGAAGCCTCCCGCTCTCCAGGCCACTCACCTCTTCAGGGCACCCACAGTATCCTCCGGCCTGGCCACAGCCAGCTCCTCGGTGTCATTGAGGAATTTGAGCCGCACATTGATGAGGCCAGGGCTGGGGGGGAGGCAGCTGCCATCCTCAGGTCTCAGGGGGGCCTCTGGACTGCTGCTTTCTGGGCCCGCTTGTCTTTTGGTCAGGCCTTGGATGTCAAGCAGATGCTCAAGGCTCGGCTCAACGCCACCCCCGGCTCCGGGCTCCCCTGTGGGGTCTCCCCCACCTTCGCCAGCCTCTTCAGCCTTCTCGTCATTACCCTCTGATGGATGGGGAAGTTCAGTGGGCTCTGGGGTGCCTTGGCCCGCTACTAGATGGTCCACGTGTCCCAGGTGGAGGACGGATGTGTCGCCAGCTGACACAATGGTGCCCAGGAGCTGGTTGCTACCGCTGTCCGCTACGTAGGTAGAGAGCCAAGCTAGGACCAAGGCTAGAATCAGCACCACCACACCTGCCACCACAGTCACCTCATTACCCACACCCTCAATGAGGGTGACATCAGAGAGCTCCATGGCCTGGCTGCTGACTGGGTCGACACTGCAGGAACAAAGGGGGATAGCATAAGCAGGGTACGTGGAGTTGCAGCCAGGTCCCTAGCTTGTTTACGTTTTAACTGAGCCAGCCCTGAAAGGAAATAGGAGTTCGGCTCCCCATAGAAGGGGGAACAAACCTTCCTACCTCCGGACCCCCAACCTAAAGCTAAGGACTTCCCTTTTGTCTCCAATGCGAAACACTAGTTTTCGGGATCCACACCTTCCCTCTCTCACATTTCAACCTCCCGAGAGCATGGATCATCAGGAAAACCTTAGGACTTTGTTGCTGCTGCTGCTGCAACTCGTCGTTGCTTTTTTGGTAGGCGGGGGAAAACATCTGCCTCTTTGAGCCCTGAGTTTCTCTAGGATTTCTATCACTTGGTCCAGCAACTATGCCCCCCCCCCCCCCCCCCACCCCGAGAAGCCTCCAAGGAGGCTTCAGAGAGACCAAAGAGCCTGAAATATTTCATTCTAGGGCCTTCTGGAAACACAGCGCGGCCACTCTTGCCAGATTGTCTCATTTGAACCCTACCTCGTTCGTGGTCACCTATTCAGGTGCAGGTGTCAAGAACCAAAAAAACATTTTTTCACCAGAAGCAGAGTCACAGACCACCCTAAAGGGACAACTGTGTAGGGCCCATCAGCAGACATTATGCAGCAGGCACTGTGTCTCCCGCCTCTGAAACACTTCCGGCGAGCCCTAGGGAGCGAAGGAGGACGGACACCAGAAACACCACCCTTCTGGGTCATCATAGGCTCACGACTGCAAAACCACCACCTAGGTGGAAATGACTTGGAAGAGATTCCAAAATAGCTCTCACAATCCATACCTGTCTCTCTCTTCTCGTACCGTGTAGTTTCTCCCTTGGTAGTTCCTTAGAAAGGCAGGAAAACCTTTCTTTTGCTCCTTAGAGGACCTACTCTTTCCCTTGGAGAGTGTGCTGTTTTCACAGCTGTCCCGGGCAAATCCGATCAGATGATTATCATTAATAAACTATTCTCACGATACCTATAACATTTCATTACACTCATCTACTTGTCCATCTCTCCCTACTAGACTTCTGGATGACAAGTATTTTTCTCTGTACCCCAGTGCCTAGCATGATGCCATAGAAACTGCTCAAAGAATATGTGCGTGACATGTCAACATCTGAATAGCTTCCACATCCTTACTTAGAACATGGGCCCTGGAGTGAAAACAAAAGCAGAACACTAATTACAATCCTGCTCTTGCCTTTTACTAGCTCTGTAACCTCGGACAACTTTCTCAGAGCCTCAGCTTTCTCATCAGTAAAATGGGGTTAAAAATAGCACCTACCTCATAAGGTTGTTTTGACGGTGACGGGAAATCATCGAAGCAAGATACCTAGCACAGGGTCTGGCACATGGCAACCGTTCAATAAATAAATGGTAGCAGTTACTTCTCGCTCCCCAGACTAGCCCCTGATGGTAGTAAGAAGGTTAATGTCACCAACCCTGATTTACAGAAAAGGAAACTGCGGCGAAGAGAAGCGAAAACGACTGGCACAGACACAGGGAACTTTCGGGGGCAGGGGCCAGGCAGGACCCCAGGTCTCCGGCCTCAGAGGCCTCTGCTCTCTCCTCAGCCTGTGAGCGACACTGACGGCGCGGTGAGGAGGGGTCCCGACCCTGCGTTTTCTGAGGCGCAGGCTCCGCGTTGGGCGGTCCTATTCCCGCGGCGCCGGAGAGAAGTCCGTGGGCCCACCTGAGCCGAAAGGCTGCCCGGTCCCTGGCCAGCAAGCTCAGTTCTCCCAGCCCGTAAGGGGTAGAGTCGGAAGAGGGGGTCACAAACCATCCACACCCCTCAAACTTCGGGGCGGGGCTGAGGGCCTGAGGGCGGGGCTTGAGTACGCGGGGAGTCATGGGAAATTAAAGGGGGATTGGACCAGTACGGTGCCTGGATAGGGAAGGAGATCCTCACCAGAAAGGGCCAGACCAAGTGTTTTGACTTCGCCAGGAAGGCCCATGGACTCACCTTTCCGTAGGGGCCGGGGGAGGGGCTGGCTATCCCCGATTCTGTCCAGGGTCCGGTTTCTTCCGGCTTCTCCCGGAAGCTGTTTGAACGAGAGAAGGAAGTCCCGCCTCCGCGCTTTGCAACTGATGACGTAAATCTACGTAAGGCGGGCTGACGTAAATGTATTCTTTAAATAAAAGGGACAGGTTTCTCAGCGGAAGGAGGGGCGGAGTCACTGTTGGCGGGATCATCGCCCTCCCGGGGCGGAGCCACACTCACTGGGAGGGGCCTAAGGAGCCCATGGGTGGGGGGCGGGGCCAGATGGGATTGGGGGAGGTGCTTGGGGGAGGGCGTGGCTTCGCGTCTGGAAAACTGAGGCGGGCTGGCACAGCTGGGCAGAACGTGAGCGGCGCTTCCCTTGTCCCAGCCTGTTCTTCCGGTCTTGTTCCCAGCCTCCCGGGCTGATTGGATTTAATACTGCTCTGTCCTGTGCACTGAGTTCCTGGTTAGCGGGATCAGTGAGGACTGACCTCCAAAAGTTCAACTCTGGCTAGTCTATAGACAGGAGGCAATTTAGTCACCGGCCGGCTGCTCCAAGAATGTGGCCCCAGGTAGCGTGGGACCTTGGTGAATAAGGCGAGAAAGCATTTCAAAGAAGGCACAGATTCAGCGCAGGCTTAAGGCGCAAGAAAAGGAGCACAGAAAAAGACAGGGGGAAAAAGGTTCATCTCCCAAGAACTTATCCGGATTTTTGCAATTAAAATTCTTCCATGGGGCGCCTGGGTGGCTCAGTCCGTTGGGCGTCGAACTTCGGCTCAGGTCATGATCTCGCAGTCCGTGAGTTCGAACCCCTCATCCGGGTCTGCGCTGACGACCCTGCTTCGAGTTCTGTCTCCCTCTCTTTCTGCCCCTCCCTCGCTCACACTGTCTCTCTCTCTCTCTCTCTCTCTCTCTCTCTCTCAAAAATAAAATTCGGGGGTGCCTGGCTGGCTCAGTTGAGGGTGTGAGTTTGAGCCCCACATTGGACATAGAGATTATTTAAAAAATTTTTTTTTTTCCAAAAGACATGTTAGGATTTTTGTCGTTTTCTGGTGAACTATTGAATGAAGTATAAAAAAGGCAGACAGGGGTAAACTTATAAGCGAAGAGCTGGTGGTTTTCACCAATTAAATACCAGTGGAACCCACACTCAGGTAAAAACATAGCAAATGACCCCATAACCCCTCTTCATGTCCTTTTCCAGCCACTGACTTCTGTCACCATAGATTAGTTTTCTCTGGTTTTGTACTTTGTATAAATGGAATCAAACCATCTAGCTTTTTTCCCCCAAGTCTTATTGTGAAATACACATAAATTTACCGTTTTGACCATATAATTTATTTATTTACTTACTGGTTGATTTATGTTTTAGAGAGAGAGCATGCGCAAGTGAGGGAGAGGGGCAGAAGGAGAGAGAATCTTAAGCAGGCTCCACACTCAGCATGGAGCCTGATGTGGGGCTCAATCCCACAACCCTGGGATCATGACCTGAGCTGCAACCGAGTCGGATGCTCAACTGACTGAGCCATCTAGGTGCCCCTGTTTTGTTTATGTAAGTAGTCTCTACACCCAACCTGAGGCTCAAACTCATGACCGCGATCAAGATCAAGAGTCACATGCTTTACCACCTGAGCCAGCCAGGCGCCCCCACTTTAACCATTTTAAGTGGCTAAGTCAGTGGCATTAAGGACATTCCTAATGTCATGCACACATCACCACTATCCATTTCCTATACCCATGCCTCCTTCCCGCCTCTATTATACTTTCTATGAATTTTCTTATTCCAGGTATCTCCTATAAGTGGAATCGTACAATATTTGTCTTTTTTGTATCCGGCTTATTTCACTTAACCATGTTTTCAGGGCTCATCCATGTTGTAGACTCTACCAAAATGTCATTCCTTTTTCAGGCTGAATAATATTTCATCGTATGTGTATAGCACATTTTCTTCATCCGTTAATCTGTTAATGGACATTTGTGTTGTTTCCACCTTGTGGCTATTGTGAATAGTGCTGCTACGCACATTGATGTACGAGTTATCTATTTGAGTCCCTGCTTTCAATTCTTTGGTCTGGCTTCTTTTGATCAACAGTACGTTTGTGAAATGCAAGGTATTTAAAAAAAATTTTTTTTTACGTTTATTTATTTTTTGAGAGACATAGAGAGACAGAGCACAAGTTGGGGAGGGGCAGAGAGACAAGGAGACACAGAATCCGAAGCAGGCTCCAGGCTCCGAGCTGTCAGCACAGAGCTCGACGCGGGGCTCGAACCCACAAACCGCTAGATCATGACCTAAGCCGAAGTCAGACGCTTAACCGACGGAGCCACCCAGGGCCCCAGCAAGGGATTTTTTTTTTTTAATGTTTATTTATTTTTGAAAGAGAGGGAGAGCACAAGTGGGGGAGGGGCAAAAAGAGAGAGAGGGAGACACAGGATCATAAGCAGTCTCCAGTTTCTGACCAGTCATCCCAGAGCCTGTCACAGGGCTCGAACGCATGAACTGTGAGATCATGACCTGAGCAGAAGTCGGTCACTTCACCGGCTGAGCCACCCAGGTGCCCCTGAAAGGTAAGGTATTGTTTTAATGTCTGCATATGTGTATTTTGGGGGGTTAAAATTTAGTGTTTTTATTTTGAAGAATGCTGGAGGGGGCAGGGCATCATAATATAGCTACACGGAGTTTTGAAGAGTGAATAGAGATTTATCAAGCAAAGTTCCAAACAGAGAGAGTAGCAAGTTCAAGGGCTCTCAATAAATACTTGGGGGAACGAATAAGCCAATGAGCTGAACCACTATTAGCGCTTTTGAGAGTTTATTATGTGCCAGGTACTGTGCTAAGTACTTCATATACATTATCTTATGGAGCCCAATCAAGTAGCTCTTATTATACACATTTTATAGGTTTGGGAACTGAGGCTCACAGAGAATGAATAATTGTCCACATGAGGCCATTTGTGCTGTAGCTAAAGTCATCTAGTGCCTGTGCTCGAGCTGTCTCTCTCTTTCTCTCTCTCTCTGTCAGTGTGATCTTATTGTCAGTATTTGGTCCCTTCCTTTTTTCATTAATTGTGTACCATGAAGCGTCTCCTATGTCACTGAATATTTTTATAGCATCATAGCATAGCTTTAAATAGCTGTTCAACAGTATTATCTTCCATGTTGCACCGTAATCTTTTTTAATGTTTATTTGTTTTTGAGAGAGAGAGAGAGAGAGAGCATGAGCGGGGGAGGGCAGAGAGAGACAGAGACAGAGAATCCGAAGCAGGCTCCAGGCTCCGAGCTGTCAGCACAGAGACCAACGCAGGGCTTGCATCCACCAGCCGTGAGATCATGACCTGGGCCAAAGTTGGACGCTTAACCGAGTCTCAATAAAAATTTTTGTGTGTCTTTGATGACAGATTTTTGTACACATCCATGATTTTTTCCCTAGGATAAATTCCTAAAAATGGAATTGCTGGATCGAAGGGTGTTCACATTATCAAGGTTTTTGATACATGCCCTCTAGCAGGTTGTACCTATTTCCATTTCTATAGCAACGTGAGTGGCACCCGCTACTGTTTCCTTCCCCCAAAACAGGGTGGAGGCTAGAGAGAATGGGGATTAATGGGGGGAGGTGCTGGGAATCCTGATACAAGATCCTACAAGGAGGAAAGAGCAGAGGGAAAGGGGGAAGTGAAAATCAAGGCTATCTGAGAAGGGAATACTTGACTGAGCAGTGACCTCTGAAGCCCAGGAGGGCGGAGCCAGTGGCCAGGGCTGCCCTGCAGAGGAGGCTGGAAATCCGGCTTTTTGACTGCCCCAGCTATCTGACTAATCCATCTGGGGACTAGGCACAAACACTCTCGTGTTTCGTAAGCTGCGTGGACCGACTTCTGCCAGGACGCTTATCATACTGTATTGTCGTTTTTAATTTTTTTGTTTTACCAAATTCCTTAAAGGGAGGAGCTGTGGTTTTCGTGTCCTATTTATTTATTTATTTATTTATTTATTTATTTATTTATTTATTTTTACTCCACTATGCCCCCGATCGATTCCGGTGCCTGCCTACAGGAGTTACTTGGTCAAGATATATTCAATGAATGATGGTTGGATTCGGAGAAGCTGGAGGGAAGAGGTGGGGAATTTGAGAGAGTTCTCTTCTCTGCTGGCCAAAGGTGAAGTGCTAAGACGGCCGTGGCAGGGAAGAAAATGGATGGAACAGAAGAGGAAGAAGGATTGGCTAGGGGTGAGGTAGACTTGGAATGCTCAGCTGCTGGGATGAAGGGTTGATAAAAGTGGAGGTTGGGCATAATGTATAGAATTGTAGAATCACTATGTTGTATACGCGAAACTAATGTAACGTTGTATGTCAACCATACTTCAAGAATACAAAAAAATTTTTTAAAGTTTATTTATATTTGAGAGAGAGAGAGAGAGAGAGAGCAAGCAGGGGAGGGGCAGAGAAAGAGGGAAAGAGAGAGAATCTCGAGTAGGCTCTGTGCTCCTTGTGCAGAGCCCTGAGAGCCCAACATGGATGCTTAACCGACTGAGCCACCCAGGCGCCCCCAGAAGTAGACATTTTTTATGTTTATTTATTTTTGAGAGGGGAGGGGAGAGAACAAGTAGGGGAGGGGCAGAGAGAGAAGGGAACAGAAGATCTGAAGCAGGCTCTGCGCTGACAGTAGAGCCCGATGCGGGGCTCGAACTCTCAAACAACGAGATCATGACCTGAGCTGAAGTCAGACGCTTAACCCACCGAGCCACCTAGGTGCCCCTAAACATTTTTTTAAAGAGAAAAAAGAGGGGCGCCTGGGTGGCTCAGTCGGTTAAGTATCCGACTTCGGCTCAGGTCATGATCTTACGGTTCGTGAGTTCAAGCCCCGCGTCGGGCTCTGTGCTGACCGCTCAGAGCCTGGAGCCTGTTTCAGATTCTGTGTCTCCCTCTCTCGCTCTGACCCTCCCCTGTTCATGTTCTGTCTCTCTCTGTCTCAAAAATAAATAAACATTAAAAAAAATTTTTTTTTAAAGAGAAAAAAGAAACCGGGGAGGTTGAGTCTAGCAAAGGATGCATTTTATGAATGTGGCGAGAAAAGGACAAGAAACAGTTAAGAGTGTTTTGAAAGGGGCTTTCCGGGGCACCTGGATTGGAATGTGTACAGTAAGTCTGTTTTACTAAAAGTGTTCCTTCCCCAAGCACTCTGTGTCATTCATCCATGTTTGCCAATCTGATAGAGAGAGGCGTGTCTGTTCCTTTGATTTCCTTCATTGGCTTACTAGAGAGTTTTCCATTTTTCGTATTTCTTCAATCACCTTGTAAATTGATTGTTTAGGCCTTTTGTGTTTTCTTCCCTTAAAAAACTTTTAATTTCACAAGAATCCATGGGTACCTGTTTCTAAAAAATTCAAATATGAAAAAAAAAAAAACTTAAAAAAAAAAACCCCACATAGTGGCAGGGTACCTGGCTGGCTCAGTCATACAGCATGAGACTCTTGATCTCAGGGTTGTGAGTTCAAGCCCCACACTAGGCGTGGAGCCTACTTCAACAACAACAACAACAACAAACACATGGTGGGATTGAAATTTTTTTTTAAAATTTAAAATATGGACCATATATTTTTTCTTTCTTTTTTAATGTTTATTTTTGAGAGAGAGAGAGAGAGAGAATAGAAGAGAATAGAATAGAGATAATGAATAGAAGTCCATGTCTGGACTTCTAACCCATAGGAACCATAAGATAATAAATGTGTGTTGTTGTTGTTGTTGTTGTTGTTTAATGTTTATTTTTGAGACAGAGAGAGAGACAGAGCATGAGTGGGGAAGGGTCAGAGAGAGAGGGAGACACAGAATCCGAAGCAGGCTCCAGGCTCTGAGCTGTCAGCACAGAGCCCGATGTGGGGCCCGAACCCACAAACCACGAGATCATGACCTGAGCGGAAGTGGGACGCTTAACCGACTGAGCCACCCAGGCGCCCCTTAAATACAGACCGTGAAATGCCCCACTGTCACAGTCCTTCTCCCCTCCCAGAGGAGAATTTTTGGGCACCTGCCTCTGGGCCTTTCTCTCTTCATCTGCGATCGTGGGGTCTGGTTTTGTTTGTTTGCTGGACGTATCGCATTCCGACCTATTTTTTTCCCTTCAACAACGGCCTTGAAAATCTTTCCAAGGTAATACCTTGTGCTGGTCACGTGGAAGCCCTCCCCAGTTCTTTCCTGCTGGAGAGACTACCCTTTGTAAGGGCCGCGTTGTACACCAGAGTATGGATTTATTCACTATTTCCCGCTTCGTTGTGTCCTCCTTGCAGGCAGTGCTGGGGCGAACGTTCCCATGTGTGCCAGCCTTTTGTGTAACTGGGGAGCAGTGCTTAAGGGTGCCGCTAAATCGCCCACCAAAAAGGCAATTTCCCTTCCCACCAACAGGATGAGCAAAAAGTTCCATCTTCCTGGGCACTGTGTGTTATCAGTCTTTACCAATTAATTCCCTCAACCTGGTGGGCGAATAATATCTTCTTATTGTTTCAGTTTGCATTTTCCTGATTGCTGGTGAGGTTGAGCATCGCCATTCATGGATTTGACAGATATTGGAGGGTCCACTCTCCGCAAAGCCCTGCACAGGCACCCAGTCACCAGTGGTGAATAAACCAGATACTGTTCCTGGGGCGCCCGGGGGCTCAGTCAGTTAATCGTCCAACTTTGGCTCAGGTCATGATCTTGAAGTTTGTGGGTTCGGGCCTCACGTCGGGCTCTGTGCTGACAGCTCAGAGCTTTGGATACTGTCTGTCTGTCTCTCTCTGCCCTTCCTCCGCTCTCTCTCTCAAAAATAAACATTAAAAACAAACAAAAAACCCAGATACTGTTCCTATCCTCACAGATGAAGGAAGTGAAATCTTTTAGTTGCAGATTTTCCCCCCAATATTTTATCTTTTTTTAAAAAGTTTATTTATTTTGGGGGGGGGGGCAGAGAGAGAGGAAGAGAGAGACTCCCAAGCAGGCTCCACGCTACCAGTGGGGGCTCGAACACATGAACTGTGAGATCACGACCTGAGCCGAAATCAAGAGTCAGACGCTCAACTGATTGAGCCACCCAGGCACCCCCAATATTTTGTCGTTTACTTGTGCTTATGATCTGGTGGTTTTATAACCAAATAAAAAAAATTTTTTTTCTGTATCCAATCTATTAATCTTTTATGCTTTCACCCTGGAAGATCTTCTCCTACCCCAAAATAACATACATAATCTCATGTCTCTTTGGGGGTTTTATTAAGTGGGTATTTTGTCACGGCTGTAAATAGAACAGAAGAGGCAGAGCTCACTGGGGTCTGCCTACTGTTAAGGGGTGGACCCCTCAGCATCCTCCCCTGAGAGCGAGGCTCCCAGCTTGGGCCCAGGACTAGAGAGGATTTCCCTCTCTTCTCTTTGGGTCTGCGAAATTAAAGCAAAACTTTCTTCCAGAAAGGAGAGGCTGCCTCTCTGCATGCCAAGGTACAAAACCGTCCTCGTGTTGGGGGAAGGGAAGATCCTCAGATGCAACTCTCCCCGGAGGAGAGTGGGCCGGGCGACAGCGGCAGGAGGCGGCCCCCAGGACTCCTGACCCATCTCTACCGTGTGACTCCAGGTAGTAATGGCAGGGGACAGCCCAGGTCCCTCAGCAAAAGGACTCTCCTGCGGTGGGTACGACAGGCTCAGGGTCTGGCAGGGGCCTTCTGTTTGTTCTTATACCCTTTTTCCTATCAGAAGAGTAACAGGTGCTCCGTGCAGAAAACTTGGGAACCACGGAAGAGCACAAAGGTGGGGTGAAAGAAATGGAGTGAGGGGGACCTCAGCCACATTTTTTTTTTAAATTTTTTAATGTTTACTTTTGAGAGACAGAGTGTGAGCGGGGAAGGGGCAGAGAGAGAAGGAGACAGAATCTGCAGCAGGCTCCAGGCTCCGCGCTGCCAGCACAGAGGCCGATGTGGGGCTCGAACCCTCGAACCCTTGAGCCATGAGATCATGACCTGAGCCGAAGTCGGACGCTCAACCGACTGAGCCACCCAGGCGCCCCGTATCTCAGCCACATTTCAATCTCACACATCCACGCTTTGATTCTGGGCACAAGTCATTTATTTGCATTCATAAAAACTGCTTTGGCTCAAAAGGTTCCTCTTAAAGATGAATGATGGTACTTTAGACTCTGGGGCCGGAGGAGGAAGTGAGAAGGGGGACAGCTGGTGGCTTGTCCTCCTGTCACAGGCCCTTAGAGACCACAAGTGTAGTGACCATTGTTTAAGACACCATGCATCACTGCACAGGGAGCACAGGGGTCACGACCGTAAACAGGTCCCAGGCATCACGCATTTATTCCTTCCTCAACAACCATTTGCTGAAATGCCTGTTCCAGGAATGCAGTCCTGGTCTCAGCCAAGCCGATGCAGACACAGGCTCTTATTTTTAAAAGTGCAATCCAAAGAGGGCTCTGAGGAGATCGTGCTATTGGGCTGATAGCGCTATTTTGTCCTCAGCTTCGACCAGGCCAAAAAAATGCGGGAAGGGTACACCAGGCAGAGGGAACAGCGCATACAGGTGCCTGGAAGCGAAGCAGCGTGGCTCTTATCCAGCAACCAGCTGCTAAGTTTGCTAAGGCTGGGTCACAGGAACCTCAGAGGGAGAAGGTGGGGGGGGTGGGTCAGAGGACCAGAGAGCTTGGTGGAGGCAGCAGTGGAAGATGTATCAATCTTACTGAATTTGGATTTTAGCCTGCAGGTAGTGAGGAGCCGCTGAAGGGCATGATCAGAGTTGTGATTCCCAAAGGGAGTTCCGGCATCCTTGCCGGGCATGGGTCTCAAGACCAGGCAGCGAGGTCTTCCCGTCAAGCAACAAAGGTAGTTCGGGCAGAGGCAGTGCAGGTACAGGCAGAGTCTGTGACTCTTGACGAGGCCAGACAAGGACACGGGTGGCAGGGGATGGGGGGAACAACAAGGATCCCCCCTCCTGGCCTGGGGGCCAGGTGGATGGGGGGGCATCCACGTAAGCAAAGGAGATGGAGGTGGGTGAAGGCGGAGTGTGCAGACCTTCCCATCGGACAGCGGAAGCCCGGGTGGGGTTGGAGGTCAGCAAGCAGCTCGGGAAGCCGCGGGAGGGATGAGCTGGCGTGGGACTCACTGGATACGCCCCTCAGCACGCAGCATCAGGTAGTCCCTGAGGACGGGGGGCAGTGGGAGGCTGGCGATGGCCTGGCGGCAGCGGCCACCCAACTGGGCCCGCACAGCCAGCCGGGCCAGGTGCTGCAACCGCCTGGGCTGGTTCACCATGCACAGGGCCGAGGTGTAGAAGGCTTCATGCTCCTAGGCCAGGAGTGGAATCGGATCAGATGGCCCAGTACCATTGACTCTGACCTCTCAGGATGACCTAGAGCTGGGGGCCCCGGGGGCATTTGCAACATGCACCCCCCCCCCGCCCCAGGTGTTTGGTGCATCTTGAAAGACTCAGATTCAGAGCCCAGAGGCTCGGCAGGGGTCATGGGAGATGGGACCGCGCTGTAGGGCAGGGTCTCAGCCATGACTGTACCCACGCCCAACTCCAAAGATGCCAACACAGCCCGCTGATAAATGCCCGTGCTGGCACAAGTGACAGAGGCAGAAGAGGTGTGTGGGATTAGAGGTTGTTCTGAGGTGCCAGGGGGAGGGGGGCCCTGGGAAGCCCATCCCGGATGGATAAGGCCTGGGGCTCATCCTTCCTCTCCATCTCCCCCAGAGCCCAGGAAGGAGCTGTGCCCCTGAGGTGGACATGCTTACCTGCCACAGCTCTGGGAGCACTGCCTCCACCCAGGTATCACAGGATGGGACATAAGGGTAGGCATTAAGCAGGACTTCCAGGGCCCGAGGGAAGTTGGCACAGTGTTTCAGCATCTAGGAATCAAAAGAGGGTCTTAGGGTCACCATGGCTCTCCCAGCCAAGGGCAGACCCAAGCCCAGCCGAAGCCGAAGCCCCATTCACACCCAAATTTGGGAGGCTAAAGTCTGAGTCTCTCCCCACTCTTTCCCATGCCTCGGTTTACCCCACCTTCAAGTGGGCTGCAACCTGTTGGCCCCAACCAGTCTCCTTGGGAACTCTCTTCTCCTTAGACACGCTCCCCTATAACCCTCAGTGGTCCTTTCCAAGGTGGGGACAGACGACCACAGAGCCGGGCTCTCAGTCTCTCGGTCCCCCTCTTCCCGGGGGGGGGGGGGGGAATTCCAGCCGTGAGCTCCCCACCCAACCCGGGCCTCCTTGCACAGGCCCTCCCTGCACACCTCAGGGCGCACAGGCTCGGCCCCGTAGTCAAGCAGCGCTGAGAAAAGGACCTCGGGCTCCCAGTTGGGGGCGTCCTGGACGGCCTGCAGCGCACAGTCCATGGGCGTGTGGCCCGCCCCGTTGGGCACTCCAGCGCAGGCCCCGTGGCGCAGCAGCAGCTCGGCCAGGCCCCCGCAGCCATTGGCACAGGCGTTGTGCAGTGGCGTGTGGCGCTTGCGCCCGGCAGCGCGGGCATCTGCCCCGGCCTCCAGGAGCCGGCGCGCTGCCGCCTGGTGACGTCGGCAGCTGCTTGGGCCCTCGGCCCCCGCGCACGCCGCGTTCAGGGCCGTCTCGCCCTGGCTGGTGCGCAGGTGCACGTTGGCGCCGTGCTCCAGGTAGAGGGCCACGTGCTCCTCCAGGCCGCGAGCCGCCGCCACGTGCAGGGGTGTCATCTCGCTGTCCTGCGCCGCCAAGTTCACAGTCGCGCCCGCTTCCAGCAGCAGCTTGGCGCACCTGGGGGCAAGGCGCAAGGCCCAGAGGCCAATGCTGAGGGACCAAGGCCTGGCCTGCGGTCATCCCCTTCCCCCTTGCTTCCCATCCCGCTAGCCTAGAGGCTGGAAGCGAGCGTGGTGTGCACCATCAGACTCACAGAAGCCCCAGGACAGACGGCAGAGCTTCAAGGCCTATCGATGTCACCAGGAACATCTCCAGGTTTCAGATAAAACCTCAGCCAAGAAAGGGCTCAGCACGGCCAAGGACCCGCAGCAAGTTAGAGGCAGCGTCAGAATTAGTACTCATTGCTTCAGACAGTTCCTCCCAGAATCTATTTCCTCAGTAAATTCTAATCATGGGCTAATTTTTGTTTCTGAAACCTGACTCCCCAAGCGGATTGGGACCCCGCCCACCGCCCCGCCCCAGGGCCTGGTTCTGATCCCCTCGCCAGTGGTCTCCTAACATTTTGATAGCACAAAATGTTTTGAAAACCCACTACTGTGTCCTTGATGAACGTTACGCATAGAAAATTAGAGTATGAGACGGAAAGAAAAAGAAATAGAAGTCCTAATATTTTCTTCATGCCTCCAACCTGGAAGACCACCCTTCTGGACCAGTGATATCCACTCAAGCAGAGGAAGGCACCTGAAGACCCACCCACTCTCCTTTCCCCTAGAGAAAACAACAAAACCCAGATTTGAGGGAGCACGTGTTTCACGGTCTTCCAGTCCCTGGAAAAATTATAGGCCAGAACACTGTTGAGGCAAACATACATCATTAACCACCACGGGGTAAAACAAACACGAAACAAACTCCATTAATGATGCAATTAAACTAACAGTAATTTATAATTAAAAAGCCAGAATGGGAGCCACTGGAAGCCCAGGAGCAGATCCGGCATCCCCAGCAAAACCCTGATGACCAGGTGTCAGTGTCCCTCCCCCAAATGGCCAGTATTCCAGCCCCCCCCCCC